TCGATAGTACGAGACGAGAAAGCGATAACACGAGACGAGAAAGCGATCGCACGAGACGAGAAAGCGATAGTACGAGACGAGAAAGCGATAGTACGAGACGAGAAAGCGATATGAATATCGCTTTCTCGCCTCGTGTTATCGCTTTATCGCTCTATCGGCCGTAATAGAAAGCGAGAAAGCGATGTCCCCACTCGGCCACCATAGTATTGTGCTGACAGACCTAGAATCATATTCCCTGTGAATCTTGAATTCGAAAACATTATCTCCGGGTCCTGTCATTGTTAAGGGGCGCAACTCTGCACAGCACGTTGCCGTGACTTAGATCTCTTAAAGCCGTGTTCTTAATAAACGAGTTGTATAGGTAGTAAGTGTGTGTATATCATATGTTCAGAAAAGTTTCACTTCCTGCCTTGGAATGGGCTCATTTAGATATGCATCTTTCGATAGCGCGACAACCCAGGCCGTTCATGTGGTTCCTGCATACAATTTTGAAGTAATAAATATCGTTTTTTATGTTCCTGCCTGGAACATGTTTGAGATAATTGTGGCCACTTGAGTTCCCATGCACTATCTACAGTTGTACGTCCAGGTTTCAACCGGTTTACGTGCCATTAGCGGGTTGCGCTTGAGTTTACGATCAGTCTCAGGGTCGGGAGTACTCTGGGTATTCTGGTTCTTGAAGGGCAAACACAAGTAGTGAGTGGGTGAGTGAGTTTCAGTTATATCGCGGCGTGTCAGCTTAATGTGGGAGGAAAGCTCGAACTGATGCAGGTCTTAGACGTTTACCACTTCCGTGAAACCCACGAGCACGGGTATGGTGCTGACAAACCTAGAAACATAATCGGGGTGAACCGGGATTCGAACCCACAATCATAGGTTTCTGGCGTGCCCAAGGGACGCAAACACAAGTAACAGACAGTGACACTGACACAAGGACAAGAGACTACCACACAGGGTATTTTCATTTTTATATACTTCAGTGTGAAAGACTGAGATTTTTGAAGCTGCACTGCAGTGAACATAAAACATTGACGGAACTATTGTCGTACAAGAGTTACCTCCCCACAAATTAGCTCCCCTGAATCGTCACTGTCTAGTCTCTATTCAAACTGTTAATTTCCTTTTTACGTTAATTCCACATTGACAAGGCACAATAATGACAAGTCATTTATTGACTTAATTTCTCGTCTTGCCGTGTGTTATTCTCTTGAAAATGTTTTGTTAAAAACTTTAAAATTCTTTAAAACTCGTCAATCGAAACTGTTAGTTTCGCAAAGCGCTTTTTTGTAACTTGACCTGCCTGTATTCTTTCGCTTCCAACAGCGGTCTCGTAGATTTAAAAAACAACAATTTTTTATATTTGTTTATGTATACAATCATATCCAAAAGTATGATAGAAAGATTTTTATTGACCTCAAATATTTGTTGTTACTTTTGAAGACTACACACAATGTTTATAATACATAGAATAGTCCGTGTGTCCCGTGAAATGTCATGTTTCTCGTTTATCTGAAGGTTGAACACCAATATTACATTGTCAAACAAGGTATTCTGGCTTTTGAAGATTGAACACCGATAACAGATTGTCAAATAAGGTATTCCGGTTTCTGAAGGTTGAACACCGATAACAGATTGTCACACCAGGTATTCTTGCTCCTGAAGTTTGAACACCGACAACAGATTGACATACAAGATAGTCTCTGGTTCATGAAGTTTGTCCCGCCAAGAATTCTTGGGGGTAGAACACATTCAAAACTCTCTCCCACATCGTCGGCTGCATCATGTGGCACTTGAGGTAGCGTTGTATTCTACGATGCAACACGGATCCTTTGGTGTGATTATAATTAAAGCCTTATGTCCCTCATTTCCTTAGTTTTCATACTACCAAGTTTATGTTTCCCAATGTGTTACCCGGACCACCGCCTCTTGGCGTCTCTGCCACATACATTCACATTCTCATACTCATTGTAAGTGAAGACTGAAGCTTCCAAGGGGGCACGGGTGGCCCAGTCGTCTAAGGCGCCGCGATTCGCTGTGCAGAGTTGCGTCCCTTGGGCACGCCAGAAACCTATGATTTTGGGTTCGAATCCCGGTTCGCCCCGATTACGTTTCTTGGTTTGTCAGCGGCATACCCGTGCTCGTGGGTTTCACCGAAGTGGTAAACGTCTAAGACCTGCATCACTTCGAGCTTTCCTCCCACATTAAGCTGAGACGCCGTGATATAACTGGAATACTGTTAAAGAGGCGTTAAACCCAACTCACTCAGTGAAGCTTCCAAAAGAATCAACAGAAAGTTACGGCCACCGGGAAAGTCAAGATAGCAGGCAAACCAACAGCCAGGCGAACAACAATAGCTCCTCCCGATGTTCTGAACCATGTGGAGGTGAGTGAGCGAAACAAACAGTTATTACTTAGACATGCATCATACAGCCTCATTGCAATGATCCAGGTGTTTTAGTTTTCTGTCGACAGCTTCTTAATGCATTGGCTTTGTCTTTCTAGATGGCCAAAGCAAGTCCCCAGTGCCTCACGCAGGTGGCAGGAATTGGCTAAAAGGGGAATCGGTTGGTGAGACGCTGTTATTGCGAGTCATCGTACCCTGATGGTCTGTCCCAGACCCAATTATATGCAGGTTGATGTGATATCCATGGACCATTGCTGACAGGGGCATTAAACATCACTCATTCTGCACAGTGTGGTTGTATTGATTTGGTCGTTGCCGGTCCCTTATTGGTACATAGTGACCTGCGTATGCTCACCAGATACTCCCAATGACTGCAAGATTTCAAACAGCCATTATTATTCGTATTCGCCAACTTCCAGGGCAATTTTTGAATCATGGTGCCACTAATTTCTAAATTCCTATCATCTGAAACACTGGTAATACTTCTGGTGGCTGTATGCCAGTGTATATCCCCGCGTTAATGCTTATTGGTTCTTGTTTAACGCCGCACCGGTCACTATTCCCGCTTTACGGCGGCGGTCTGTAAATAATCTACCGAATTGGGATACAATGACATGTTTATTAAGAATAAGACTCACCACAGCCGTGGCCCTAAGATGGGTTTGCAGAATTGAGGTCGGTGAGGTAGCCGAGTGGTTAAAGCGTTTGCTCCTGCGCACACCGAAGGCCCGGGATCGATTCCCCTTATGGGTACAATATGTTAAGCTCTGTTGTGCCGCAGTTGGCTGTATCAGACACCTATGATCATGGGTTCGAATCCCAGATTCGCCATGTTTTTATCTTCAGCACCATATCCGTGCTCGTGGTATAAAGTGGCAACGTCTCATGCCTGCATCACTTCTGGCTTTCCACTTACATCAAGCTGTCACAGCGTGAAATAACTGAAACAATGTTCAAGGCAGCGTTAAACACCACTCACTCATACATTCAGAGACAACGAGCACCCAGGATGGAACTACAAGGCGCTAAACTCTTTTTCTCATGTGGCGCAATACATGATATTTAGACATGCTTTATGCCTAGCCGAGAGTTATGAGTTTGCATTGAAATAATGTAGTCTTGGGATGGCTTCAGTCCAGTCAGCGGGGGCTACACTATTGCCTAGCTCCCGGGAGGAATGTCGATATATATAAGGATGATTTAATGTGGTTCTGTTCCGCTAGTCAGTGCGGGGAAACGTCGGATGTGACCAACTGACGTGTAATGGTCAGGAATTGCGCATCATTACAACTTCGGATAAACCGAACTACTGGTTCATTTGAGATTGTTATATCCGGAGCGTGATCTCCAAACCTCGCCAACGAACTGTAGCTTGTGTAAAACTAGATACATATAGTTTATACATTTTAAACTACATACACTGTACACCCTCGTGAAGATCGGGGTTAGAAGTGGTCTTCAGTAACTCATGGTTGTGGTAAGAGGTAATTGACGGGATCACGTGATCAGGCTCGCTGACTTGGTTGATATATGTGATCGTATCCAAAATGCGTATATTGCTGCTCATGGGGTCAGTCGCTGGATTGTCTGGTCCAGACTCGATTATTTACAGACCACGTTATATAGCTGGAATATTGCTGAGTGCCGCGGTGAACCACAAACAAAGCCTTTCCTGAGCACAGTTTCCTGATGTGCACGATGGGACATCATAGATATATTTCCCTAAACAACATATAACACTTCTATTGTCAGTTTGAATATATCCCACTGCACGTTAGATCATTATGGAGTTTATTCCCTTGTTTGGACGGGTTTCGAGGGTGACAGGAACGTCTATCCTGTAGTTGATGTGTCTCCTCCGACTATTCCTGCAGGTACAGAACCGTTCACGCAATCCCTCTTCATTCCTTCCCGCTATAACTAGAAGTGTGATGTATCACTCCTCAAACCCCGAGCTGGATATATCCCTCCCTGGAGATGGTATCAGGGCAGAATTTCACACATGGGGGACACGAATTGAAAAGCTGGCTGTCTGGAGGTTTTTTTACTTTCTGAAATCAGTCCAGATCTGAGGAGCTGTAACGTTTTCAAACATAAAACAGAATTGACTCCCGCGACTGGATTGTTGTGAGCCTTCCTGCCCCCAGCCCGCGGGAAGATTCCCCGCAGTCATCATACACTGAATACCAGCAGAATTAATACAGAAATTAGGCAGCAACCATTTAACCAATTTAAAGTTTTAAAAACTGGCGTCTGACCTATAACACTGCCTGAGCTGCTATACCACAAAGGAAGTGGAGTTTCAGGGAAGCTGACAGTGAAGTAAGTCAATGGGTGTTTTGCATGCAGTCAGGAATATTACAGATTGAAAGGACATTGTAGGAAATAGACCCAGCAGTTAACAGACCCACTGACCCAGGATGTATAGGAACAAAAAGAGTGCAACTATCTGGCCAAATAAAATGGATCGTTCAGGATGCCATGTTTCTGCACATTACTCCCACAATTTCTGTCTTGTCAAAGAATGCGGGAACTGACAAAGTCATAAACACATCCTGGATAAACTAGGAAATATGAGACAAAGAAACAATCTACATATATGTAAATACTTTATTCCAGTTGTAACAGTTCCACATCCCTCACATGTGTATATATTAAGTAGTTATTGAGGTAAGAAGCAGCAGTACTACATCGGGGGTAAATACAAGCTCGCATAAATAATGAAGTCATATTTTGGCTATCTAGTGGACCAGTCTATTTGTCTGGTGTACCAAGCAGCTATACCAGTTAAGTCTAGTAGACCAGTCTATTTGTCAAATGGACCAGTTTATTTGTCAAGTGGACCAGTCTATTTGTCTAGTAGATCAGTCTATTTGTCAAGTGGACCAGTCTATTTGTCTAGTGGACCAGTCTATTTGTCAAGTGGACCAGTCTATTTGTCTAGTAGATCAGTCTATTTATCTAGTGGACTAGCATAATTATAAGACACCCACACTTCAGACACAACAATAGCTACTTTAATACGTCTGCTGTATGGTTGTACTGCTGTATGGTTGTACTGCTGTTTGGTTGTACTGCTGTATGGTTGTACTGCTGTATGGTTGTACTGCTGTACTGCTGTATGGTTGTACTGCTGTACTGCTGTATGGTTGTACTGCTGTATGGTTGTACTGCTGTATGGTTGTACTGCTGTTTGGTTGTACTGCTGTATGGTTGTACTGCTGTTTGGTTGTACTGCTGTATGGTTGTACTGCTGTTTGGTTGTACTGCTGTATGGTTGTACTGCTGTATGGTTGTATTGCTGTATGGTTGTACTGCTGTACTGCTGCATGGTTGTACTGCCGTATGGTTGTACTGCTGCATGGTTGTACTGCTGTATGGTTGTACTGCTGTTTGGTTGTACTGCTGTATGGTTGTACTGCTGTATGGTTGTACTGCTGTTTGGTTGTACTGATGTATGGTTGTACTGCTGTATGGTTGTACTGCCGTATGGTTGTACCGTTGTATGGTTGTACTGCTGTATGGCTGTACTGCTGTATGGTTGTACTGCTGTACTGCTGTTTGGTTGTACTGCTGTATGGTTGTACTGCTGTATGGTTGTACTGCTGTTTGGTTGTCCTGCTGTTTTGTTGTACTGCTGTATGGTTGTACTGCTGTATGGTTGTACTGCTGTATGGTTGTACTGTTGTATGGTTGTACTGCTGTATGGTTGTACTGCTGTTTGGTTGTACTGCTGTATGGTTGTACTGCTGTTTGGTTGTACTGCTGTATGGTTGTACTGCTGTACTGCTGTATGGCTGTACTGCTGTTTGGTTGTACTGCTGTATGGTTGTACTGCTGTATAGTTGTACTGCTGTATGGTTGTACTGCTGTTTGGTTGTACTGCTGTTTGGTTGTACTGCTGTATGGTTGTACTGCTGTATGGTTGTACTGCTGTATGGTTGTACTGCTGTTTGGTTGTACTGCTGTATGGTTGTACTGCTGTATGGTTGTACTGTTGTTTGGTTGTACTGCTGTATGGTTGTACTGCTGTATGGTTGTACTGCTGTATGGTTGTACTGTTGTATGGTTGTACTGCTGCATGGTTGTACTGCTGCATGGTTGTACTGCTGTTTGGTTGTACTGCTGTATGGTTGTACTGCTGTTTGGTTGTACTGCTGTATGGTTGTACTGCTGTATGGTTGTACTGCTGTATGGTTGTACTGCTGTTTGGTTGTACTGCTGTATGGTTGTACTGCTGCATGGCTGTACTGCTGTATGGTTGTACTGCTGTTTGGTTGTACTGCTGTACTGCTGTATGGTTGTACTGCTGCATGGCTGTACTGCTGTATGGTTGTACTGCTGTTTGGTTGTACTGCTGTACTGCTGTATGGTTGTACTGCTGTATGGTTGTACTGCTGTATGGTTGTACTGCTGTATGGTTGTACTGCTGTACTGCTGTATGGTTGTACTGCTGCATAGGTGTACTGCTGTATGGTTGTACTGCTGTATGGTTGTTCTGCTGTATGGTTGTACTGCTGTACTGTTTAATGGTTGTACTGCTGTAGGGTTGTACTGTTGTATAGTTGTACTGCTGTACTGCTGCATGGTTGTACTGTTGTATGGTTGTACTGCTGCATGGTTGTACTGCTGCATGGTTGTACTGCTGTATGGTTGTACTGCTGTACTGCTGTATGGTTGTGCTGCTGCATGGTTGTACTGCTGTTTGGTTGTACTGCTGTATGGTTGTACTGCTGTATGGTTGTACTGCTGTATGGTTGTACTGCTGTATGATTGTATGATAGTACCGAGGCCCCTGAAGTCAGTACATTGACACATAAACAAAACAGTCACTCTCCATCCCTGTGCTAAATCATAACAAAACACAAACACCCTCAAACACCCTCTGTAGCAACACAAACACCCTCAAACACCCTCTGTATCAGAAGACAGACACGTCTGGTTGCTAGTCTAGGGTGTTGCCAGGTTTGTTCGTCCAACACAATATTCCCAGTCTTCCCCTATGTGGAACATGACCAATGCATAGGTATCCATACTGAAACAGTACAGTACCACAGTAATCACACAAGTTGTTGTCCATTACTTGTGTCTACTTTGTCATGACTCAAGTACTTCAGTAGAATTTAACCTGGAAGATGTTTTTATTGATAAAAGCAAAACTTCCTCAGCTCTAGTTTCCCTAACTAGTGATGACTCCGGCCAGATGATGTCCTACAAACTTGGAGTCCCACAACAACATCTAAACTGACACAAGTTTTGTTCCATTCAGCTCGTTCTGCTGTTTGACAGCATTTCTTCAAGGCTATTGTTCACATTAAGGCGTGTGTACAAGACTAAAAGTCACTTTGAAAACATTCTCTTGTTTCAAATGTAAAACTTTACATGTTGTAACACTAAAAGAATCAACATATGAAGGTAATTGCGTATGTTAAATTATTCTAAACAACGAATAACTCTTGGAGTTGCACATCTGGTTAAAAGTAAGTACACCATACCAGACCAGAGACCATATAATATCTATTATATGGTCTCCAACTATACTAATGACTGCCGCCAACATGTCCGTCCTCACATGTGCAGAAGCAGAAGAGAGTGAGTGAGTAAGTTTGATTTTACACCGCTTTTAGCCATTTCCACACACCAATAACAAATAATAAATAGAAGCTGACCCCTGCAGCTCCTCGTCTTAAGCACATCAACAAGCACCCTGCAGAATAAAAGCACCACCTACCCTGGTACTAGAAGACTAAGAGATTGCACTCAGCAATATTTAGACGGCGTTCTGTAAATAATCATGTCTGGCCTAGACAATCCAGTGATTGACATCATGAGCATCGATATATGTGATTGGGGTACGATGACATGCATCAACCAAGTCAGCAAGCCTGACCAACAATCCTATGAGTCGCCTCTTAGGACAAGCATGGGTTGCTGAAGACCAATTCTAACTCCGATCTGGTTCCACCAAGTTCTGTTAATGTCCAGATTGTAGTAGTGTGTTGTGTACAGGGCAACATGCATGTATTTCGGGACTTTCTGGAGAGTTATCTTTCCTTGTCTATAATGGTTGCTGACAAATTTGTTTGAATCTTTCATGTTCCCCTATCTAAATGTGCCCATTTAGACAAAAACAGCTGATTTTTGTTTGAAATGAGCTCTGAAGAGAGACACTGTTTTAATGGCCTAATCCTGCGGCCACCCTCTAACTACAAGCATTTACATTCCTCACAGCAGGAATCAAGGGAGCTGTTGCTGAACCAGGCCAAATCACCTTTGTAGAGCATGGTAGTGTGCTCAACTGGTTTCATAATGAGTTGGTGTTTCACGTTTGATCATCAGGTGCACTCTACTGGTCAATACTGAATGATTGAGTATTGTTTTACGCCTCTTTTAGCAATATTCCAGCAATATCACGGCGGGGGACACCAGAAATGGGCTTCACATATTGTACTCATTTGGGGAATCAAACCCAGGCCTTCTGCATGACGTGTGAACGCTTTAACCACTAGGCTACCCCACCACCCCCTCTACTGGTCAATAACCATGGTCACCGGTAAATTACAAAGAGTAATACCGTCCCCAACTAGCAGGAATAATATGTCCTTCAGGAAAAGATATAACACTATAAGTAAAACATAATTAATTCCATCTTCCACATGCTTCTTCCTTGTCTAGGGTTTGTAGTTCTGGAGAACGTGCGCAATGCCTTCTCTGAACCTTGTCCTCTGACCACAGCCCAGCGCCTCGAGCCGGGAACAGTCCAGGTGGGAGTTGAAGGGCCGCGTGGCACCAATTGAGGGCTTCTTATCGGCTTCGATGTGACTGGCTGGGAGGCTAAATATCTCTGCCATTGCCACAGCCATGTCGTACTTGGTCATGTTTTCATCACTGCTCCAGTGGAAGGTGCCGCTGATGGAGTTATCCTGGAGGAGACAGCAAAACAACTAATTATCATTCCTGGTGACCCTTGGTAGCTAGTGCTCACTTTGCAGTAATACTCTGGATCTTAGACTTGGCCCATAGTTAATTGTATTTTACAGGATCAACTTTCAGTACTCTCAGTGTGATAATCGTTGAAGGTTCTCACACAGGTTGTTCATCTGGAACTAGTTGTATGCAGTCTGCATCTCCTGAAAAATGCTGCATATATGGATACCCAAAGAAATCTTTTGAACCTGAAAATATTAACATCTTACAGCCGTTCTCAGTGAATGGGGTAGCCAAGGCACCACGATTTGCTTGAAGAGTTGTGTCCCCTGGACATGCCAGGAACCTATGATCCCTAAACCTTGAAAGATAATGGTTATGAGTGAGTGAGTGAGTGAGTTGGGTTTAACACCGCTTTTTACAGTATTCCAGTTATATCGCGGCGTGTCAGCTTAATGTGGGAGGAAAGCTCGAAGTGATGCAGGTCTCAGACGTTTACCACTTCCGTGAAACCCACGAGCACGGGTATGGTGCTGACAAACCTGGAAACATAATGAGGGCGACCCGGGATTTGAACCCACAATCATAGGTTTCCGGCGTGCCCAATGGACGCTTTTCTGCCCAGCAAATCGCGGCTCCTTAGACAACTGGGCCATCCTAATGCCCCCTAATGGTTATAAGGCAAATAGATACCCATTCTTCTAAATTGTCGGTCTCCGTAGGGCGTGGGGGTGGTTATAAAGATTGGTCTAGAATTGGGTCGGGCACATATTAGGGCTTAATATGGTTAACACAGTAAATCAAAGAAGACTGTAAATATCTGAGACCATACAAGACCAACCAATGGTGAATACCATAAACATTGTGGTTGTCAAGGTAACACACAGCCAAGTCACACATTGTTGTTGTCAGGGTAACACACAGCCAAGTCAAACATTTTTGTCAGGGTAACACACAGCCAAGTCACACATTGTTGTTGTCAGGGTAACACACAGCCAAGTCACACATTGTTGTTGTCAGGGTAACACACAGCCAAGTCACACATTGTTGTTGTCAGGGTAACACACAACCCAGTCACACATTGCTGTTGTCAGGGCAACACACAGCCAAGTCACACATTGTTGTTGTCAGGGTAACACAGAGCCAAGTCACACATTGTTGTTGTCAGGGTAACACAGAGCCAAGTCACATGTTGTTGTTGTCAGGGTAACACACAGCCAAGTCACATGTTGTTGTCAGGGTAACACACAGCCAAGTCACATGTTGTTGTCAGGGTAACACACAGCCAAGTCACATACATTGTTGTTGTCAGGGTAACACACAGCCAAGTCACATGTTGTTGTCAGGGTAACACACAGCCAAGTCACACACATTGTTGTTGTCAGGGTAACACACAGCCAAGTCACACATTGTTGTTGTCAGGGTAACACACAGCCAAGTCACACATTGTTGTTGTCAGGGTAACACACAGCCAAGTCACATGTTATAATCCCCTCCAAGTCAGCACATCCGTGAGACTCTGGGGACCTATTCTGCCTTATGTCCTCCAAAAGGACAGTTGGTACATCAACAGGGGTGGATGTTCAAGGTCACCAAATATTTCTTTTATAGATTTGATCAAAACAAGAAAAGTACACATTATTTGCACAACCTCTTCATCATGGATTAGAAAGACAAAAAATGCAAAAATCTAACAAAACATAACTTTAGTCTTTTTTAATAATATTTACCCAGTAATATATTTTGGTCTAAGATAAGTAATTGTCATCCCACAAGTTCAGTATGTACCTGCAGTTTCTTGTCTGCCAACTGTCGGATGGCGACGGCGACGTCCCGGCAAGCTGTAGGGTACCGGCGTTCATAGTCAGACATGACACATGACTTTGTTGTGTCCTTGACCTTCTCAAACAGAACTGTGACAGCACTCTCTCCTAGATACTCCACTTCTCCATAGAGTATGGGGACACGTAGTACGCCATTACCTGCAGGACACAGCACCATACAGCACCAGGACCATACAACATTGAGCTCTCACCAACAGTCTCACAGAATTACACCAACATTGAGCTCTCACCAACAGTCCCACAGAAATACACCAACATTGAGCTCTCACCAACAGTCCCACAGAAATACACCAACATTGAGCTCTCACCAACAGTCTCACAGAAATACACCAACATCCAAAGGTGTACAAGATGACAAAAATCAAATCTGCTAATGACATATAACTCAGAACAAGGTTTAAGATTGGTTCATTGTCTCAGGTATGGACTCATTGTCATCCAAAATCACCTGAAGAGTGTTTTACAAATTTAGTAATGATATAGAAGAATGTCCTATCAAAAAATGTGATAACACACTGAAAATGTCCTGATTTCATTTGTCCACAGGAAAATCGACATATAATGATATAGCCTCTTGGAGACTTCACGAACACATGGTGATACATATAAGCAATTGTAGCTGTTGAAATGCTGTGGTATAAAATGCTACACAACTTTCTGTGACTTTTACAAACCTTTATCAGTTTCCAGAGTGACTTTCTCCCCTTCATATTTGCTCTGGCCGTACATGTTGAGCGGCGATGGCTGGTCCGTCACTGTGTATGGAGGCTTGGACCCATCAAACACGTAGTCAGTACTCACAAACAGCACCCATGCCCCCACCTTGCCTGGAACACGAAACTCACGATAATACCCACGCCCCTACCTTGCCTGGAACATGAAACTCACGATAATACCCACGCCCCTACCTTGTCTGGAACATGAAACTCACGATAATACCCACGCCCCTACCTTGCCTGGAACACGAAACTCAAGATAACACCAACGCCCCTACCTTGCCTGGAACATGAAACTCACGATAATACCCACGCCCCTACCTTGTCTGGAACATGAAACTCACGATAACACCCACGCCCCTACCTTGCCTGGAACATGAAGCTCAAGATAACACCAACGCCCCTACCTTGTCTGGAACATGAAACTCACGATAACACCCACGCCCCTACCTTGCCTGGAACATGAAACTCAAGGTAACACCCACGCCCCTACCTTGCCTGGAACATGGAACTCAAGGTAACACCCACGCCCCAACCTTGCCTGGAACATGAAACTCAAGGTAACAGCCTCGCCCCTACCTTGTCTGAAACATGAAACTCAAGGTAACATCCACGCCCCCACCTTGCCTGGAACATGAAACTCACGATAACACCCTTGCCCCTACCTTGCCTGGAACACGAAACTCAAGATAACACCCACGCCCCTACCTTGCCTGGAACATGAAACTCAAGGTAACACCCTCGCCCCTACCTTGTCTGGAACATGAAACTCAAGGTAACACCCTCGCCCCTACCTTGCCTGGAACACGAAACTCAAGATAACACCCACGCCCCTACCTTGCCTGGAACATGAAACTCAAGGTAACACCCACGCCCCTACCTTGTCTGGAACATGAAACTCACGATAACACCCACGCCCCTACCTTGCCTGAAACATGAAACTCACGATAACAACCACGCTCCTACCTTGCCTGAAACATGAAACTCAAGGTAACACCCACGCGCTCCTACCTTGCCTGAAACATGAAACTCAAGGTAACACCAACGCGCCCCTACCTTGCCTGGAACATGAAACTCACGATAACACCTACGCTCCTACCTTGCCTGAAACATGAAACTCAAGGTAACACCCTCGCCCCTACCTTGTCTGGAACACGAAACTCAAGATAACACCCACGCCCCTACCTTGCCTGGAACATGAAACTCAAGGTAACACCCTCGCCCCTACCTTGCCTGGAACATGAAACTCAAGATAACACCCACGCCCCTACCTTGCCTGAAACATGAAAATCAAGGTAACACCCACGCCCCTACCTTGCCTGAAACATGAAACTCAAGGTAACACCCACGCCCCTACCTTGCCTCGAACATGAAACTCAAGGTAACACCCACGCCCCTACCTTGTCTGAAACATGAAACTCATGATAACACCCACGCCCCTACCTTGCCTGGAACATGAAACTCAAGGTAACACCCACGCTCCTACCTTGCCTGGAACATGAAACTCACGATAACACCCACGCCCCTACCTTGCCTGGAACATGAAACTCAAGGTAACACCCACGCCCCTACCTTGCCTGGAACATGAAACTCAAGGTAACACCCACGCCCCTACCTTGCCTGAAACATGAAGCTCAAGATAACACCCACGCTCCTATTTTGCCTGGAACATGAAACTCAAGGTAACACCCACGCCCCTACCTTGCCTGAAACATGAAGCTCAAGATAACACCCACGCTCCTATTTTGCCTGGAACATGAAACTCAAGGTAACACCAACGCGCCCCTACCTTGCCTGGAACATGAAACTCAAGGTAACACCCACGCCCCTACCTTGCCTGAAACATGAAGCTCAAGATAACACCCACGCTCCTATTTTGCCTGGAACATGAAACTCAAGGTAACACCCACGCCCCTACCTTGTCTGAAACATGAAACTCAAGGTAACACCCACGCCCCTACCTTGCCTGGAACATGAAACTCAAGGTAACACCCACGCCCCTACCTTGCCTGGAACATGAAACTCAAGGTAACACCAACGCGCCCCTACCTTGCCTGGAACATGAAACTCACGATAACACCCACGCCCCTACCTTGCCTGAAACATGAAACTCACGATAACAACCACGCTCCTACCTTGCCTGAAACATGAAACTCAAGGTAACACCAACGCGCTCCTACCTTGCCTGAAACATGAAACTCAAGGTAACACCAACGCGCCCCTACCTTGCCTGGAACATGAAACTCACGATAACACCTACGCTCCTACCTTGCCTGAAACATGAAACTCAAGGTAACACCCACGCCCCCACCTTGTCTGGAACACGAAACTCAAGGTAACACCCACGCCCCTACCTTGCCTGAAACATGAAACTCAAGGTAACACCCACGCCCCTACCTTGCCTGGAACATGAAACTCAAGGTAACACCCACGCCCCTACCTTGCCTGGAACATGAAACTCAAGGTAACACCCACGCCCCTACCTTGTCTGAAACATGAAACTCATGATAATACCCACGCCCCTACCTTGTCTGGAACATGGAACTCAAGGTAACACCCACGCCCCTACCTTGCCTTGAACATGAAACTCAAGGTAACACCCTCGCCCCTACCTTGCCTGGAACATGAAACTCAAGGTAACACCCTCGCCCCTACCTTGTCTGGAACATGAAACTCAAGGTAACACCCACGCCCCTACCTTGCCTGGAACATGAAACTCACGATAACACCCACGCCCCTACCTTGTCTGGAACATGAAACTCAAGATAACACCAACGCCCCTACCTTGCCTGGAACATGAAACTCAAGATAACACCACAGCCCCTACCTTGCCTGGAACATGAAACTCAAGGTAACACCCACGCCCCTACCTTGCCTGAAACATGAAACTCAAGGTAACACCCACGCCCCTACCTTGCCTCGAACATGAAACTCAAGGTAACACCCACGCCCCTACCTTGTCTGAAACATGAAACTCAAGGTAACACCCACGCCCCTACCTTGCCTGGAACATGAAACTCAAGGTAACACCCACGCCCCTACCTTGCCTGAAACATGAAACTCACGATAACACCCACGCCCCTACCTTGCCTGAAACATGAAACTCACGATAACACCCACGCCCCTACCTTGCCTGAAACATGAAGCTCAAGATAACACCCACGCTCCTATTTTGCCTGGAACATGAAACTCAAGGTAACACCCACGCCCCTACCTTGCCTGGAACATGAAACTCAAGGTAACACCCACGCCCCTACCTTGCCTGGAACATGAAACTCAAGGTAACACCCACGCCCCTACCTTGTCTGGAACATGAAACTCAAGATAACACCAACGCCCCTACCTTGCCTGAAACATGAAACTCACGATAACAACCACGCTCCTACCTTGCCTGAATCATGAAACTCAAGGTAACACCAACGCGCCCCTACCTTGCCTGGAACATGAAACTCACGATAACACCTACGCTCCTACCTTGCCTGAAACATGAAACTCAAGGTAACACCAACGCGCCCCTACCTTGCCTGGAACATGAAACTCACGATAACACCTACGCTCCTACCTTGTCTGGAACATGAAGCTCAAGGTAACACCTACGCTCCTACCTTGCCTGGAACATGAAACTCAAGGTAACACCAACGCCCCTACCTTGCCTGAAACATGAAACTCAAGGTAACACCCACACCCCTACCTTGCCTGGAACATGAAACTCACGATAACGCCCACGCCCCTACCTTGCCTGAAACACGAAACTCAAGGTAACACCCACGCCCCTACCTTGCCTGGAACATGAAACTCAAGGTAACACCCATGCCCCTATCTTGCCTGAAACACGAAACTCACGATAACATCGACGCCCCTACCTTGCCTGAAACACGAATCTTACAATAACACCCACGCCCCCATCTTGAGCTACGTTGTGTCAGGTGTAACCCTACTCAGAGGCAAATGTGGGAAAAATGCAACTCATCTGGCGAGGACCCCAGCCGGGGGATGTGCTACACATATGGGTGAGTGAGTGAGTGAGTGAGTGCGTATGTCGCAAAACAGTACATAACAAACTCTCTACAGCGAACTAACGATAGCCATCTGATATCTGATCCCCAACAAGCCCAAATACCACTCATGTTTCTGAGCGAAAAGGTTTTTCTGAACAATGTTTATGCATCGAACTGATTTCTCCGGTCCCTTGTAGTTCATTATATCCATGTTCTACTGTAAAAACAATACTGGGATTTCCATGCAGTCCATCAAGTCCATGATAAAGTAATCTAGTGCATTCTCCGAAATACTGTTGTGACATGAAACCTCTTTCAGCTTCGGGAATTATTGTTGGCAGTATGGTTTTATGCAGCTTTTAGTCATATCACAGCGGGGGACACCAGAAACGGGCTTCACACATTGTAGCCATATTGGGAATCGAACCCAGTCTTTGGTGTGATGAACAAATGCTTTAACCACAAGGCTACCCCACCACCCCACTACACATCGTGGTCCAGCCTACCTGCCTCTGTGCACAGGGTCCGTGTAGCATCAATGTTGATCTTCTGTGTGGCCTCGGGTTGACTCTCAACAACGTCTGGACGTCGTTCCGCTGCAGCATGGATTACACAAGATGGCTGGAAGATACAATTACAGGACATACCAGATGTACCAGCTACAAGGAAATAATGTCTGTCCACAGAGAAGCGTGTTGTGTCAAGCAAAAGGCTAAGCACATTAACCCATGAAGTGCAGATAATTTGTAATTCACAATGTCAAGATTACAAACGATGAGGTTTCAACAGGTTTGTGTAAAACAGCTATGTCACTATTCTGACGCTTGGTGCAATGTGACCGGTCATTTCACATGGGGAAAAAGACAGAATACATTGAATGAAGCTATCACATTGATGGAACTTGAAGTACTAGTTTTTCGTTCATTCGTTTGTTTGTTGTTTAACGCCGCACTCAGGAATATTCCAGCTATATGACGGCAGTCTGTAAAGAATCAAGCCTGGACCAGACAATCCAGTGATTAACATGTGCATCGCTCCACGCAATTGGGATACGATGACATGCATCAACCAAGTCAGTGAGCCTGACCACCTGATCCCGTTAGTCGCCTCTTACGAGAAGCATCGTCGCCTTTTACGGCAAGCATGGGTTGCAGAAGACCTTTTCTAACACGTATCTTCACAGGTCACTGGTTTTTCAATCCATTGATGAATATACATTAAAAATTCATTATTACCAAGACGGTAATCAAACATCTAATTATCATGAACATGAAGCACATACCTTGAACTCTTGTATAACTTGCTGGATGGCACTGGGATTGGTTAAATCAACCTTTTTCAGTTTGTCGCCACTTCTGGAGAACGCCAGCCCCAGAACCTCCCATGACGGAGCAGCAGAAAACTCTTGAAACACAGCTCTCCCCAGCAGTCCTGACGCTCCCGTGATCAGCACTCGCTTCAACGCCATTCTCAGTAGTCTACAGTTGTATACGAAATATATCAGTACATATACTCATAGACCATGAGGACTACATTCCAAATCTAATACAATGAATTGCTAAATATGATTGTTTGTTGGTTGTTTAATGCTGCGCTCAGCAATATTCCAGCTATATGATGACAGTCTGTAAATAATCCGAGTCTGATCCATCCTGTTTCACCCGCCAGTCAGCGATATTTACTTCACATCATGGCGGCATGTTTGTTTGTTGTTTAACGCCGCACTCAGCAACATTCCAGGGAAATGACGATGTAAATAATCGAGCCTGGACGAGACAATCCAGTGATTGACATCATGAGCATTGATCCACGCAATTGGGATATGATGACCTGCACCAACCAAGTCAACAAGCCTGACCACCCGATCCTGTTAGTCGCCTCTTACAACAAGCATAGTCACCTATGGGCAAGCATTGGCTGCTGAAGATCTATTCTACCCTGGACCTTCACGGGTCTGCTTAATATGAATATAGATATTCATGTTAGATACAAAATTGGGGAGTGTGGGTCATCACATCTCTAAAATGATCAGCATGAGACATCGGACTATCAACGGAGAGCAACTCAGACCAGGAGTATGGTGGTGTCTATGTATTAGTTAATACACAATATTATTTGTTTGTTTCTTTGTTGTTTATCACCACGCTCAGCAGTATTCCAGCTGTATGACGGCGGTGTGTAAATAACTGAGTCTGAACCAGACAAACCAGTGATTGACATCATGAGCATCGATCTACACAATTGGGAGATGATGACTGCATCAACAGTGTTCCTGTTTACCGGTAATTACAAGTTTTTCACCGGTGAAATTAGGCTTATACCGGTAATTCATGTGACTGCCAGTCCCTGTGGACCGGCAAATAAAGTACCTTATTAATCTTTGTTGAACAAAACAACGGCGATATTCATATAAGTATATTTTTCAAATGAAGTCAGCTTGTCTAGGGTTTCCCCTTGTCTATTTCTAGTGCAAGGATATAACATATATATTTGTAGCGACCTAGTCTCGAAATATTAAAAAAGAAGAGAGAATTGTGACTTAACTTTGAGTGAATGACGAGTAGATATAACTATGCTACTTCAGAGATGACATCACTGCATTGAACATGATGTTGAAAGAATTAATACCAGGTAATTTTCATACATTTTTTTATTTGTTGAAAGTTGGGACTGAGAAAAATTTGAGGGGACTGGTAATTTTTAAAGTTGCCAGTCCAGGACTGGCAGTTTCAAAAGCCAGCAGGAATACTGAATCAACCAACCAAGGCAGAGAGTATGCACGATCACTCCAAGGTCCCAAGCACTCCGTATTCGTCATTAGAGCGGAGTAATGTGGATTAGTTTGCTACCATGTCCGACCTGTGCATTGTGCATCATCATGTAGAGATGACGGGGATTGCTGCTCATGATATCAATCTTAGTTTGCCTGGATGATTTGATTACTTGCATGACAAAGCTGGAATAATACCGATTGTGGCAGTCCCTCATGCAGACCCTGGAACATATATATCCAATACCACCCATACAAGGCCATAACAGTTGGCAAGTCTAGATTACTGCAGTTTTAGGCTGAAAGTGAAGAGAGTCTCTCAGCTAATTTTATTTATATTATATTAAAATTATATTGAAAATATTAAAAATGTTTCTATTTTTTCTGTAAAATATTTTCATAACAGAGACAAGAAGTCAGTCAATTATTACAGTATAAAACAACAATCGCTACCATCATGGAACTGAGCTGGACAGATAAGAAAATTAATGTTCCCTACCATACATATCTGTAAAACATGGATCAGATGTTTTAAAGCCATAGACAGCCTGTACATAATAGAGCATGCACCACATAAACATGAGATGTGGACTATTTGTTACAAAAATGTTCAAATGCCTTTAATACGTAAAATTTACTTTTATCTGCAAATAACTTATTTACTTAATCCCATCTGCCTACAATCACCTCTCATCAAGTGAATCCCCTACTTCACAGACAGCCTAATCACATCAGTCATGGTTGACTAGATTACAAATCCACCAGTTGATACCTTTCCAATGCAGTAGAATAACGCAAACAGGGTGGGGACTATACACAAGTATTATAATTATAACAAAATAAATTGCTATATTTCCATGACATATTGTTCCATCCTCAAACTGGACATTTTCATCCTGGTATTGACAACATTATCAAAGTAGCCGCCACGTTTATTTTGAAGTATTGACACCGTAATGTGCCATGAAACATGTCGTTCAGCAGGTAAAGGTGTAATGTCAAGTCCGTACTGGTCGGCCTATTGGTCCATATCCTTGTATTTTACAAGGAGAATCTAGCTGAAGACACATAAGTAATGTATTATTTACAAACTGATATGCTTTCAGTATAGATCTAATTTGAAAAACATTTCATGATCATGATATTTCACCAGTGTTGACAGCTATCTAATTACAATTTCACATCGGTTGAATTGAAATAAGCGGTAGATCACACCAGTAACTAAAGTGACGCCAGTTACCTTTATTAAGTGCAGGCGTGATTGATGCGGTTTTATTGTCACAAGCTTTTGCACCGATTTACTTATATCAGGCAGACTTACAATAGTTACACGTTGTTTACCATTGACTGAAACACCAATCAGGAAAGACAACTCTCCGGTGTGTCCGTATTCAGAAGTTCCTTGCATCGTTAACTACAGTGACAAGAATGTTAGTGACGCCTAAATGTCGATGTAAAGAGTTTACTTGCGCTCGTTTCGCTGTCATTCGGCACATCTCGGGCAGCCCCGCTGAACGTCCTTTTCTCATATATAGCTTCGAGAAAACTGAGATCTAACAAAGTAATTCAGATCGTGTATTTCTAAAATGGCGGGCTGTTTCAATCCAAACAGTATGGAGGAATTTATGGTGTCAGCTGATGCAAGTTTGAAACGATTCGAAACGAATTTTGACATGATATGTTCAAAGGTACATGCCTGTTTGTACATATTTACCTATTTCATTACATGTAGGATACTGTTTATTATGAACTGTTTCATAATTATTGTCAAAATTCCAGGCTTTTAATTCTGATTGCACATCTTTACCTCGGCTGTTTGTTATTTGATGACAATCATACGCCGCAGACTGTGAAATAATTACATCACGGTCAGTAATGAGCAGTTTTTTCTCATGATAAGATGCATGCCTGCTTAATGATAAGTAATATTGCACTATTTTCCTGTAATTTAGTTGCTTTTATTCTTTACAGAGCTTGATTTGCAGGCATCACATCCATCAATTCAATACACAAAAGCCCTGTCTCATCATTATTGTTACATGGCAGTTCTTAATGTACTAATAACTGCCTGGGATTGGCGGTGATGAGTGTTATACCACCAGGGACTACACATCTGTTAATCAATTAATCTGTTAATTAAGTCATTGCCATTCCCATGTTCTATTCTGAACAAGAGTTATGGTATTTCAGGGAATTATTCATCTGGTCCAGACACAACACTAGATTTCTAGACATACAGAAGTTTCAATGACACACTCAGCTTAGTGGGCATTTTTATATTGAAAACTACTCGCTTGTATTATTACGATTTGCCACAGGCTTTGATATGCACCAACGCCTTGTATATGAACTGAATATCTCAAAGGTATTTTCCGGCAAATCAAGTTGACAGTTCTTGACATCAGGATCCAGATAAACCAATCATATCATTACAATATCATGCTAGTGAATCAGGTCACAGGGTGGTGCACACAAAGTTCAAAAGAGGATCAATTTATTAAATGAGAGAAGTATTAATGCTGGAAATAACTTAAGAGATAAATGTAGGACACTTTCCATTTTTGCACTTTTCAAGTTTATTACATTTACAGAGAAAACATGTCAAAATATTGCAGCCAGGTTGAAAAGACAAAATGGGTTACCTCCCTTGCCTCATGATGCCAAAGTGTACAGTGATTTGAGTGTGATAATAACATACCTTGTAATTTGAAGGGTGGTGACCATAGTGATGCTGGAATGTGTTCAGGTGAAAGGTTTTTTGAAGCTGGAAACTTTGTTCTAGGGCGTTTCCACACCAAGATCTAAAGAAAGAGAAATGTATAGTGTGAGATAGGATAAGTATATAAGTATACAATTTAATGTAAAATTTTCAATTATATCTTTATTACATACACAAGCCATCATGAGATAATAACAACACAACAAATCTGTAATCATGGCTTCTAGTCTTTGAATGCTAGCATAAGATGAAACACCTCAGCTGTTCCCCATGTTGACATGTGTGTCTGACATGTGTGTCTGACGTGTGTGTCTGACATGTGTGTCTGACGTGGGTGTCTGACATGTGGGTCTGACATGTGGGTCTGACATGGGTCATGTGTGGGTCTGACATGTGGGTCTGAAACGTGGGTCTGACGTGTGGGTCTGACATGTGTGTCTGACACCTGGGTCTGACATGTGGGTCTGACGTGTGGGTCTGACACGTGGTTCTGACATGTATCTTGTTTCTTTCTCTTTCAGTATGGACAGGCTTTCCCAGATGATGACATAGTTTCCATGAAGACTGGTGAGATTGTGAATGACAAAGGTATGTATCTCCCCATTGTGCAAACATAACTATAACACTTGTTGACATAATTCTCCATTATATAACAGATGCATCTGTTTGTGGGCCTGCCCCAAATAACCCAGTGATCTCAAAAACGAGTTGATAATTTTTTTATTAAGATGCATGTAAACAGACTGATGTAATACTAATGTTCATCCAATCTCATTAAAATCAGATCTTTTACTCCACATGACATGTGGGCTTTTGAGCCAATCAGATGTCAGCTTTCTAAAATGAATCGGCTTAATTTCTTTACCACCATGATTCGGAAATTTTGATTTTAACGAAAGAAAATTAAAAGTGAAAACAAATATTCCTTTGATGTTACTTCCGAGATTCCTTGGAGCTCAGAAACAACAGCCTGTATAAAACGTCAACAAGAATATAATTGATCTGCAGTTATTAGTTACGTTCGGATTTACCAATTAACTTCGTTTTTCAAGACACAGAAATGAGATATGCTGGTCTTAATGTTTTGCTTATACATACCTCAATGCTGATTGGTTAATTAGAAAATTCACCTGATGTGTCAATGCAAAGTGATACTGTGTCGAAATACTATATCTCATGTAAATTGGGTTTCATATTCAGCACAATCAGCTTTTTGTTAGAAATTTGTAGGCTGCTTAAGATGAACAAGTTCTGTAAAGTTCTAGCTTTGTAAACTAAATATGCTAATATTATGCATATTATATAAAATTACAAAAAATTGTCAATGTTGGTGTTTCAAAGTGAAAGGGCTTTTTATGTTCTTCATATTTATGAATGATTAGCTTGACTAGGTCAGGGGAACTCGTTATTTAACCTGATATTTGTTTTTTGTGTTGCAGGAACTATCCGGAAACTTAAGCCTGTGTCTTTTGGAGGAGCTAAGCTGGCAGTGACCAAGCGTCGAGGTACTGGCCAGAGTTTCCTGAAGGGATTTGTGGGGGGCTTCACTGACTTTGTGCTTGCTGTGGCTCATTGTAGTGAAACAATTCAACCATCTTCTCTCAGGCGGCATTCAGTGACCTCCCTCACATGTTGGGTCTTCTTTATTAACCTCTCCAATAAGCCAGTGCACATTTTTTCAGATAGAAGTTGTCTTGTGCTATTTGAAGTTCTTAATAATTCCCTCAGTTTAGGCTTAAAAAAATAGTCTTGGTTCTCACACACTGCCTGCATCATAAAGTCTGCCGTACGTGTCGTTTTTAATTCCATTTTAAAAATAAATAAATATATATATACTTAATAAATACTTAATGACAATGCGATCCAATATAGTACGCAGTTACTTCCCTTTACATGCCCACTGCTTTACTGGTGTCCCGTGTTATGGTCATGGCTGCAACAGGAGTTTGTATGCTTGTTTATGTAGGGAGGCTCTTAACATATTAGTTTAAACAAGCAAACAAACAGAAAAAATACTGCCCGACTGCCCGCACTCTATGGTCAAAAGTTGTTGCCTGAGAACAAATACTTTTATTTTCTCAAGCCTTAAGGACATGTATGTTTCACTTTCAGCTGACAAGTTCACCAAGGCTCTGTCCCACAGCACCATCGACTTGTCACAGAGCCAGCCGGTCGACGCCCAGTCTGTGAGTCCACTGTGTAACCTTGGGGTTTCACCCAGGTGCCACTACTGCATGTGGAGGGTATTACGTGGCAATTCCCAAATTCAAACAATATGTTAACCCAGAAAACTGTACGTAAAAGAATTTATTGGGAAACCAACAAGCAACTAACAAATGGTATACAATCAACAATTGTGTTACAAAATCCGCTAGATTTACAAATCAGTACAAATTACTGCACACCAATTACAATGGCAGTTAGCTTCTAACGAATCCCAACAGAATTAATGTACTACAGTTACAATCACCGTGTAACAATAAAATACACTGGAAAAATACCAACAGGCCACAAAGTTGCGACTAAATTGGTCGCCATGGCGATCTAGTTTTGTATTTTGCGACTGGTATTTTCATGTCAGTCGCCAACTGGCTCCTTGTCTTTAATTAAGTTTGGCGACTAAATATCTCTTGTCATAAGATATTAAAAAAGATCGTTTTTAATATAAGTGCGTAACTTCGGTGAAAAAATTCGATATCAGAACATAATAACATCGACAAGATCACTGTTGGCCATGTGTTCTGTTTTCGCTTTCGATATGAAGCTCCATACCTGGAATGAAGGAAGCACTTTCCGTTATTAAGTAATGCACTAACGATGTTAAGAGTTTAGTACCCACGCATGCGCTGTACGACATCCGCCCAGGTGACAGCTAAGGCGGTCGTTTCGCCGTTCAAAAACACGAAGTATTTTTCTATATTTGCGCAACGGCAAATGATGAATACCGTATTTTCTTTAGTATAGTGCGCACCCCTCTCTAGCAGATTCAGTATTTATTTTTTTTGGGGGGGGGGGGGGGGGGGGAAACAGGGGTGGAAATTTGCCATTTCCCGACTCTCGGGGAAAGTAGAAATACGAGGTTGGGCAACAAAATCACTTACTTTAACTTGTCCGGAGGCAAGTAATATTGGAAATTACTATCACTGTCTACATTTCTAACTACTTGTAAGGCAGGCAGCCAATCAAATTTCAGCGGTGATACCAAGCTCGTGTTTGATAAATTTCAGAAGTTGGCGAAAGATTTTTGTTAAATCATGTTATTCTGAACTAAAAGGCAGGAAATCACGATATATATATATTAAAAATATGGAACTTCGTGAATCTATCGTGCTAGGTTACGAGCTGTGACAGATTTTTCATGCATATATTTTTGCATTAAACATCGTGTCCGAGCCGAGAATTTAAGGCGACGAAAGCTGAGATGTCATTTGACTTACATTACATGCGATCGCACGAAAAGATGGAAATAATAACTTAGATGTAAGTTTGATTACTTTTAGATATATTTTTGTTGAATTTATTTATTACTTTGTATAATATATCAAAGATTTGCTTAAAACGTCTTTATTTTGCTCTTTGACATGTTCGATGTGGACCCGTTGTTGAAATGTGTGTCCGAGAATTATATTTTCAATAACATCGCGGGAAATAGTGAATAATTTTTTTATTTATTGATAAAAAAATGATAAATTGATATGGAATACGTATTTCAGACATTGTGAAATGTGATAGATTTAATAAATGAATGATATTATAGGTAGGTCCATACAAATATAAACTATTTTGACGTGACTACGGCTTGGCCGGAAAACCGGCCTACGGTGTTGAAAGGGATAAACACATAGATAAAAAATCACCAGACATGTTGATTTACCGTTTAAATTGTATTTTTTTGTTCTGCTAGGCATTGTTTTATATCCAGGGATTAAGATTACCATGTGTATCTTCTCGTAAACTAAGCCGGACACAGCAATCAGCTGTACACACAATTTCTTGGAATTTACCGGTGATTCAGTCAAGTCACACCCAATGATATAACTTTACAGGGTTTTAATGCAAGGATCGGCAAAAAATGTATCTGAAACTTCTTCTTTTTATCAGGAATAATATATTCCAATATCTTGTTAATTTAGATGCAGCTTTTACCAAACATATTTGAAATAATAATAACCCTAAGCGTAAGCGAAGCAGCTGATTGCTATATATTACCGGGTATTACATGGTTTTACATGGAACACACAGTCTGACCAGTCACCGTCAAGGCTCCCGTGCACGTGATCGCGTGAATTACGTGTTGACATAGAATCGTCCAACAAAATCAAATATGACCTTTAACGAGTCAAAGTATGGCATTTATGACAAATGTATCCATTCTCTGTCAACGAAAGTTCGTTTCAAGGCATCAATAGCGGTAATCTGACCGTGGTTTCTCTTAATAACCGTTTGTTAGATCTTCCGATCGCTTCACACACGATTTCGCCGAAATAAATTAAAACAATATTAAAAGTAATTTTGAATAAAATTAATGAAATAAGTTACTAACATAAGTCCAGATATACAAAGAACACTTTTTATAGTCAGACAGTGTAATTACATGATTTGTTTGCGTACTTCAGTATGGATTTGTTGACATGGTATTTCCGGTGTTACGTTCTCATGGTAATGTCTTTCCATGGGGGAAAAACATCAAAACTCATTATTTCGTGTATAATGCGCACCCCCTTCTACACAGCTGTGTTTTTTTGGAAATAAATGCGCAGTATACTCAAGATAATACGGAATGCTTTGAATGGCGAAGCTGACACGGAAGTTTCGTCGTCTATCGACACGTTCGATGAACCAAAACCTGCAACTGGCACCGGTAAACTGTCAGATGATGTTACTGACACAATGTTCTAAAGCTTGTTTGTCTGAAAAACTCAAAAGCTTCAACAACACGTCAACAGTTGTTGTTCATGATTTAAAACTGATTATTCAAACTAATGGATTTTTTTTTTTTGTTATGCAGTTAAATTACAAGTCATTACTTTTGGCTCCTTACATTTTGTCTTGGCTCTTTGAAATTCTATTTGGCTCCTTGAAAAAATAATTTAGGAGCCAAGTGGCTCCTTTGAATTTTTTGTAACTTTGTGGCCTGACCAAGGGACACACAGGGGCTACAGTAGTTTAATCTATGAAATATTTCGCTTTCGAACCATGACTGTATCTTGTTTTTCAACCTCGATTTTGAAAACTGATTTTTTTAAATAATCTTTTCTTTCTTAAATTGATGTGTGGAGAGGCCATTGTCAAAGAGGCATTGTTGTTGCAATTTACTTTGAAAGATACCATTTAATTGAAATTTGTTACAAATGATAAACCACTAATTCCTGATATGATGCAGTCTATGACTGACAATTTAAATCATTCTTCATCACATATCCCGTAGTGTGAGAATCTTGTATTCTCTTCTTTGAAATGTCCAGCACTGGCAGAACAGTGAGTGTCGTTTTCTTATCCTGAAGCTTTTTGGAGTGAAGTCCTATTGTGGCTAGTAATGCATTGTTTACCATGTACTAACGTTGAAAATGATTGTTTCAGATTTACAGCAGCTACGTGTCACCCCGGGTCAATGTGACCCATTTTGCAGGTAAGTCTCCATTTTCACAGATGTCGCGTAGCTTACTTCCTGTAGTCATGGTGTAGGCAGGCTGTGTCTTTAAACATTTATCTGAAGCAAAGTTAAATATGATTCTTTTCGGAAAGTAGACTTTAGCCGTTATGTTGTTTAGTTTGTACATACATGTAGTAACATTGTCAAGGAAGTACATGTGTTGGTTGGTAATGTCGACACAAAATGTTCATGTCCAGGAGTGCTGGTGTTTGTTAGCTTGTCTGTTGATGTAACATTGCTGATGGGGATGATATCCATCTAACAAGGAAGGTGTGGCAGATACACAAACACAGCATTTACATGATCAAGTGTCAGTAACCAGATCCATCTTACAAGGAAGATGTGGCAGATACACAAACACAGCATTTACATGATCAACAGTCAGTAACCAGATCTTCAATCATACAGCATTCACCCATCTTCCCGAGGCAAGAGAGTTAACTGACTATAAAAGTCTAGTTTCCACCCTTGCCGAACTTTTAAAGTCAGTTAACTCTCTTGTCCCGGGAAGATGGCATTCACCCTGCTGGGTTTCCAGAGAGCAGGTGCCCAGTTTCCAAAACCTGACAGAAACTAGGTTACTATAACCCAGATGGCTTTGTGTCACCACACCCTGATGGTGTTCTATTGGCACTGATTTACCTTGCCCAGATAGATACTTTTGAATGTTTACACGCCAACGTGACCTTGCTGGAATATTGCTTACTGGGGAACTATAAACTAACACTCACTCACTCATTTCACCTTAACATTTGGAACAAGGGGGTATCTTATTGGTTCAAGCCTTTACCCTCTGGAATAGTGCTGAAAACTTTTGTAAAACAACTCACTCACTCATTATCTTGACCTTTCAGATGATGCAAGCAAACTGCTCTCTTTCATTTGTGAGGATGAGAATGAGCCGAGTGATGCGGAAACCATCAGTTCTGGAGACACTTCCAGCGTAGACAATGAGGCGGAAGACCGCTCCACTGACCCAGAGTCATACTCAGATGAGGTAGATGGTGACCTTGACCTCTGTACGCCCAAACCTAGATACCCTTGCAAACCAAAGCAGGATGTGTTACGTTTCAATGATAATGTTTGGTATTCTCTTGGAAGTGCCAGCAATCAGTCTCCAAGTTCTGGATCAGATTTGTCAGTTAGGAAAAACTTTGGATCTAGAAATTCTCGTTCACAAGAAGTATCAAGTAAAACTGAGGACAGTTTTAGCACAGAAGGAGATCAGAAAGGTGCATGCGGAAACTTGTCGAAGAGTATTCTTGCACGATTCCACATGATGAAGGGTCAACCGGAGGACAGTGGGTTCGAGAGCGGTCCAGGGATAAGAATGGGTACTGACGAAACAAGAGACAAGGCGCCTCTACGACTGTTTTGTCTGAATGAAGATAAGATAAACCGAGTGATGAGCTGGGTCAAAGATCAAGCAAATGAGAGTCGTCATCTTGGAGCTCGGACCCAGCCAGTGCGTTTGAAAGATGGGTTTGAATCCAACCTGCCAACCCAAGCAGATGACGTTCATCTTAAGTCACCGACAAAAATTAGAAAGAAAAGTGAGAAAGATCACAACTTTAACAATCAGTCATCTCTGCAGAATCCACCTCCATATCCTCTGACTAGACTAATAGGTGATATGAACCAGACGTATACGGTTCCTCTGCCTAATGGGAACAACCCATACAGGATGCCATTCATGGATGTCAACCGGGGCACTTGTAAACAGCCTGACCCACCTCCTTGCAACCAACACAAGACCTGGTCGGCTGATGCTGGTCCGGTAGCTTCATCAAAGTCCACTAATGTTGGCAGAATATATGACTCATCTGAGCTGTTGGAAACCTCTCAAGAGCTCAAGACAGATGCCATGTGCCAAAGAAGGATTGTCCGAGCAAGAAAACGAACGTTCATTCCAATACAACCTTCTTACACCTCTGAGCAGCTTTTGGACTATTTGACCTCACCAATGCCACAAACAATTGTTGAGATATTGTCTCCAGCACGACCAAGTAGTTTGGAAGTTGAGGAGGAGACACTGCCATGTCTGAAGTCTCCGCCTCCATCTCTGCTTCCCCCGAGGACTGATGACAGTTTGTATGGATGGGAGCATTCACAGATTCAGCACAGTCCCTCTCATCACCGTCACACACTCATGAATCGGTTTAGCAAACAAGAAAATAACATTGGAAGAGCTGTTGATATCAACGGACACTACCCTATGAACAATTTGAACAAAAATGATGCCACAGAAAGCAGTGGATCTTATGATGATGATGATGATGTTGTGATCACCAAGGTTAAGATAGAACCTGGACATGAAGCTGTCACCTCCCATACACAGCCTTGGGAACATGCAGAACCAAGAGAACATCCTCAGCCTTGGGAACATGCAGAGCCAAGAGAAAATCCACAGCCTTGGGAACATGCAGAGCCAAGAGAACACCCACATCCTTGGGAACATGCACAGCCAAGAGGACATGCACTGGCAAGAGAACATGCACAGCCAAGAGGACATGCACAGCAAAAAGAACATGTCCCCTGTGAGATGAGGAACAAGTATTGGCTGGAGGACAGAGTGTCAGTGAAGGATGATGCAGTGACACTGTGTGAAGGATTTGGATACTCTATCCCTGAATATGGCCACATTATGACTCCTGTACCTCAAGCCATCATTTCTCACAATGTTGGCAGGAACATAGGAACGCCAGTAACCATTGAACACAGCAACAACAGAATCATGAGAACTCCTAATGGAACACTAAACTCTCTTGTAACCTATGGTGATGACCAAAACCTGGGAACACCCAAGTCCTTCATCTCTCAAGATACCAACAGAAGCCCTGGAAGAACACCTGATGCACTGCCAATAACCATCACCCATGGTGACAACAGAAATCCTGGAAGAACACCTGATGCACTGCCAATAACCGTCACCCATATTGACAACAGAAATCCTGAAGGAACACCTGATGCACTGCCAATAACCGTCACCCATTGTGATAACAGAACCCTGAATGGAACACCCCAAACCTGCTTCTCTGCAGGATCTAGAAACAAGAAGCAGATCTTTGATCACTTGAAGCAAACAGGATCACAGTCTGATTCGAAGGTGATCACTGAGAAAGGGCTGAGTCGAGGGCGTGTGAAGGCAAGGAGGCAGCTTACAATGGAGCAGACAGGAAGGGGAGACCCCCAGCATCAGCTCCGCTCAGATGGGGGACAGGTGCTTGACAAGGAACAGCCTACTGCTAGACCCAGAAAATCACAAATGCAGCCCCGGGTGGTTGGGACAAATAGTGGGAGAAACAACACCAATAAGTTTTCTGTGGATGGAAAGAGTTATGAAACTCTTGCTAAGGTGTCATCTAAACACAGGCAGTCAGATGATGCTGGGGCCGATTTAACCTCAGCTGGTGAAGGGAGAGTAGGGAAGAATTACCAGGTAGGATGCTCTGCAGCCAGAGGTAGAAATGTAGCCTTACAGCTTAATGGAAGCGAACAGGAGACTGTGGGTAGGCATCGACATAGGTCTGATCGGATGGATGAAACACCAGCTTCACCTGGAAGGAAGGATGGGGCTGGCATGTGTAAAAATCCCAAAATAAGCTCCAGAAAATGTCAGCCAGATAACCACGTGTTGTCTCCATTGCGAAATGGCAGGTGTTCAGCAGCTTCCAGTGTGGGTCTCTCCCCTTCATCACATCTGTCTCAGCTGCAGCTTAATAGCCCAACTCGGGCCAAGACTGAAAGGCCGAAGTCCGACAAGACATATAGCAAAGAACTGTTCAAAACTCCCAAGGGATCTCCCAGACCAAAATGTGCAAAACACCCTTCCCAGATCACCAATGACCTATCCTCAAAAACACCATATCAGTGCAAAGACTTCTCTCAGAACATTTTCAGTTTGAAAAATAAAACCTCCACTGACAAATCTAACCACATGAGTCATAAGTCTTCTTCCTACAATGATGTATGCATATCTTCCAGAAATCATGTTTCATCTCGGTCTCCTTCTAAATCAGACTCAGACAATTTCAGACGATCCATGCCACAACTACCAACTTCCCCTCGTTTGCATCCCTCAGACAAACAGAAAACCTCATCAAACGAGTACCTGGTATCCAAGGAAAATTTCAACAAATCTCCTCATTCGAAAAATATATCTTCTAAAGCGTCGAAAAAGCCAGTTTTTCTTGTTCCAGACAGTTCCCACATCAGGTCACTGAAATCTGTCAAATCATCCAAATCGATAACCTCTGAACTTAATTCACGCGCAGTTAACACAGGACTTAAGAAGATATCCCGGGACCAGTTCCGATCTGTGTACAGGACAGCAGACAAGAACCCTCTGTGGACAAGCACCCCATCAAAAGCCAGGAGCATGCCTGTCCTCAACCAGACCATGTCCACGATTCTGCTTGGTGAGGATGATGATGGTGCCTCGGATGAGGACAACGATGATGATGAGGTTGAGACAGTCAGTCCCTACTCCTTCAGGTCCGAAAGTGTCATTGGAATGTAGACTTCACATAATGGACAGTTGGCACTACACGCTCTTTCTGGAGTGTAGACTACCCATGGTGGACACCCTCTGTCTGGAGTGTAGACTTCCCATGGCGGACACCCTCTGTCTGGAGTGAAGACTTCCTATGGTGGACACCCTCTGTCTGGAGTGTAGACTTCCCATGGTGAACAGCCTCTGTCTGGAGTGTAGACTTCCAATGGTGAACAGCCTCTGTCTGGAGTGTAGACTTCTTGTTGTGGACACCCTCTGTCTGGAGTGTAGACTTCCTATGGTGGACACCCTCTGTCTGGAGTGTAGACTTCCCATAGTGGACACCCTCTGTCTGGAGTGTAGACTTCCAATGGTGGACATCCTCTGTCTGGAGTGTAGACTTCCCATGGTGGACACCCTCTGTCTGGAGTGTAGACTTCCCATGGTGAACAGCCTCTGTCTGGAGTGTAGACTTCGCGTGGTGGACACCCTCTGTCTGGAGTGTAGACCTCCCATGATGGACACCCTCTGTCTGGAGCGTAGACTTCCAATGGTGGACACCCTCTGTCTGGAGTGTAGACTTCCCATGGTGGACACCCTCTGTCTGGAGTGTAGACTTCCCATGGCGGACACCCCCTGTCTGGAGTGAAGACTTCCTATGGTGGACACCCTCTGTCTGGAGAGTAGACTTCCAATGGTGAACAGCCTCTGTCTGGAGTGTAGACTTCCTATGGTGGACACCCTCTGTCTGGAGTGTAGACTTCCAATGGTGAACAGCCTCTGTCTAGAGTGTAGACTTCCCAAGGTGGACACCCTCCGTCTGGAGTGTAGACTTCCCATGGTGGACACCCTCTGTCTGGAGTATAGACTTCCTATGGTGGACACCCTCTGTCTGGAGTGTAGGCTTCCCATGGTGGACACCCTCTGTCTGGAGTGTAGACTTCCCATGGCGGACACCCTCTGTCTGGAGTGTAGACTTCCCATGGCGGACACCCTCTGTCTGGAGTGTAGACCTGCCATGGAGGACACCCTCTGTCTGGAGTGTAGACTTCCCATGGTGGACACCCTCTGTCTGGAGCGTAGACTTCCCATGGTGAACAGCCTCTGTCTGGAGTGTAGACTTCCTATGGTGAACAGCCTCTGTCTGGAGAGTAGACTTCGCGTGGTGGACACCCTCCGTCTGGAGTGTAGACTTCCAATGGTGGACACCCTCTGTCTGGAGTGTAGACTTCCCATGGCGGACACCCTCTGTCTGGAGTGTAGACTTCGCATGGTGGACACCCTCTGTCTGGAGTGTAGACTTCCCATGGTGGACACCCTCTGTCTGGAGTGTAGACACGACCTCTGCTGCTGTATGTGGGTCATGATCACAGGAGAGTGTATGACACTGCAGTGCTAAGTGAGTGAACTGTTTCATTGACCCACCCACAAACCCATTCCAGAACTGTTGAAGCTAACGTTACATGACAAAGACAGTTGATATGAGTTGTGATACAGCCTCCCACGTGCCAAATCCTCTAATTATTCAATTAGTGTTTCGAACACTAGTGTTTGTATGTACATATGGGTTTCACCTCATTGCCGGTGCTGTTAAGTGTGTGATGTCATTGGAGATTAGATGATCATGCAATTAATTGGGCTGAATGTCTGTTTATGTGTATACATTTCATTCACTGTAGTCGTGAAGATCCGGGGTACAATAGGTCTTCAGCAGCCCATAGTTGCTGTAAAAGGCGACTATCCTTGTCGTAAGACGCGACTAACGTGATGGGGTGGTCAAACTCGCTGACTTGGTTGATGCATGTCATCGATCCCAATTGCGTGGATAGATGTTCATGATATTAATCACTGGATTGTCTGGTCCAGACTCGATTATTTACAGACCACCGTCATATAGCTGGAATATTGCTGAGTGCGGCGTAAAACAACAAACCAACCAAATCACTGTGTGGTCCCATGTACTACTACCATATTCACTTTCAAGAACACAAGGCGGGGCTTCCATGGAGGACCTATTCTACTCTTTAAACCAAGTTAAGTGCCTTCATACTTCAATTGGATGTAATATTAATAGAAAAAATACTTGTCATCTTTTCGCTTGAAACAGGGTTTCTATACGTCTGTGCCCCTATTACATGCACATGCTAATTGTGATATTGTTTTTGAAACAAACTTCACATGCAAACTCTTTCAGTGGAGGTCAGAGAAGTGGAGTCTCAGTGGAGGTTATCTGTCACATCTCATGTTCCAGTTATGATTGTTCAAGTTATATAAGATTGTGGCAGTGATGAGAAGAACTCCATTTGAAAGTATAGTTGGCAAGAGACAGGGAGATATCAGGCCAGAAAACATGCCTTGACCACATGACATACTTACGTCCTTGTCCAAAGTTGAAAACTCAACAACAGCTCTGCTATTTCATGTTTGATATTTGCTACCTTTCTGACGTTATCTGTGTTATCTAGAATGAGATATATATTATCTGCAGATTAAACATTATTTCATTTATGGTCCTTGTTTGTCTGAAATGGGTTTCTTCAACTGACGAAGACACCAATGTGTCCTGGATCCATGCAGGAAAGAAGTACAAGAAGAAAGCAATCATGAAGAAACACATTGACATGTTTGTGACAGTTACCTTGTTCATAACACACTGATTTAAATACGAAAAGATGAAAGTGAATCAAATTCAGCCTCACATATGTTGATCTTTAAAACATTAATGAATTCAGTGACAGCAGGTCACATTTGAAACTTGAAATGGACGCTGTCCAAATGAAGTATTATGTTCAACAAATATTAAAATATAAGATTGTATTGCTGCAAATCTGATGTCCCTTCTGTCCAAGCCACAATTATGTTTCTAGACACATGAAGTTCGGGGATAGAATAGGTCTTCAGCAACCCATGCTTGTCATAAGAGGCGACTAACTGATTGGGTGGTCAGGTTGCTCATTTGGTCAATGTATGTCATCGTATCCAAATTGCGTGGATTGATGCTCATGATGTCAGTCACTGGATTGTCCGGTCCAGACTTGATCCTTTACAGACAGCCATCATATAGCTGGAATATTGCTGAGTGAGGTGTTAAACAACAAGTAAACAAACAAACAATGAATTTGAAGAACTAAGATGTCCCACAAATCTTTTATTGGAATAAGATTTGGACTTCTTGCTGAAGTGTCTCTTTAGCATTCTTAGGTTAGCATTCCAGAACATCAAACGTGAGGCCCAGAATTATCCATGAAGAAAGGGCTAGTGGCCAACGCATGATTGTAACAGTAGTCTCCAGGATGGCATGCTAATATCAAGGTCTGTTCAGATTACCCTGCGCAGTGATCAAGTCGAGTTTACCATTACCGAACCCCTACTCAATGAATGGGTCTCTAGAATGTTGTGTGCAGTAATGGCAGTATTTGCTTGCCTCCAGACACGTGTACGGCCGTGTACCCTGTGTAACAGAAACCGTCTTTCATCTGAAAAATATACCTTCCGCCATGATCCAATATTCCAGTTAAGACGTTGTTTGAACTAAACCAAACGAGGCGCTTTATGGGCATAAGTTAACGAGACATTTGATTGGTCTTCTGGCTCTGTATCCAGAAGATTTCTTTGAGGAAGTTGATGTAAAACTGCTTTGTTATTGAAACCCACAAATCTATAACATCCATCGTCATATAGCTGGAATGTTGCTGAGTGCGGCGTTAAACAACAAACAAACACGCCGGTGCCGCCATGATGTGAAGTAAATATCGCTGACTGGCGGGGGAAACAGGATGGATCAAGGACAATGTACACCTGCCTGACAGCTCTGACGTACACATTGTACAAACAACAAGACACCTTGCACAACACACGGCCGATCCCATGTTTTATGGGTATCTTTATTACTGACGTTCCTTTTGCCAAAACAATCAAAGATGCGTGCATGGAATAAATTACAATAACACAGCAACGTGTCTCGTGGTTAGTGACTTGTCAGTGCAAGAAAACCAGCCAAGATTTCTGCCGCAACAGGTTCCACACGTGCGTAAAGGGCAAATAGCTGTGGAAATTAAGAACGAATGCAAGAATTGGGACCGCGGAGCACATATATATACTCTTAAAATGGTAGAGGATACTCGGAAAGAACTAAAAATTCCCCAAATGTAAGATATTAGTTTCTCTTAATACTTTTATGTTATGAGCGAGTTGGGAACATGTTACACACCATTACAGGGTCGATTGATCCGAAACCAGGCTCTACGAAATCGAGCTCAAACAGCGAATCAAACTTGTATCATGCTACAGTTGTACGAGTTACGGTCTGACGATTACAACTGATTGCATGCAGCTTGGCTCCATGCTCGACGGCCTTGTTTTTTGTGCCGCTCCTTACAAAACGTCATATTGCCAGGAGACGTCAATGGCGTAACACTGGGGTAATCATCGCTGGTCACGTGTCCTGTTTTCTAACGAGTCCCGATTCACTTTGCACTTCCTTGATAGGCGTGGTCGTGTATGGCGACGTCGAAATGAACGTCAAGCCAACGTCTGCGTGAGACATGACAGATTTGGAGTTGGATTGGTTATGGTGTGGAGTGGCATCACTATGACTGCATGACCGAACCCCACTCCATATTGTGCAAGGAAGGGTAACTGGACAGTACTATCGAGGACAACACAGACACCCTTTGCTGTTCCGTGTGGGTCGACGTTTTGTCTTTGAGGACGACTACGCCCGTGCTTACCTGCCGCGCACGAATTCAGAATACTCACTTTCAGAAGCACAACATCCTTAGAATGCCATGACCAGCAATGAGCAGCACAACATCCTTAGAATGCCATGACCAGCAATGAGCAGCACAACATCCTTAGAATGCCTTGACCAGCAATGAGCAGCACAACATCCTTAGAATGCCATGGCCAGCAATGAGCAGCACAACATCCTTAGAATGCCATGGCCAGCAATGAGCAGCACAACATCCTTAGAATGCCATGACCAGCAATGAGCAGCACAACATCCTTAGAATGCCTTGACCAGCAATGAGCAGCACAACATCCTTAGAATGCCATGGCCAGCAATGAGCAGCACAACATCCTTAGAATGCCATGGCCAGCAATGAGCAGCACAACATCCTTAGAATGCCATGGCCAGCAATGAGCCCAGACCTTTCCCCTCTTGAACACGATAGGGAGACGTGTGCGTCAACGTCATAGGCTGCCGACCACGTGGGCCGAACCTGGCGCTGCAAGAGGAGTGGGACAGACTCCCTTAAATCGCCATTGGGAGACTCATACGCAGTATGTCTCGTCGACTAAATGAATGTTTCGACTAATCGTCGCGGTATTATGCACTACTGATCCAAAAAAGTCAACTTCGAAATTTCCCATTTTACCCCTATCGTCCTTCAAGATAGTTGGCGGTCATAATTCCTACTGTCATACTTGACTTTATTCATGCCCTGTGATTACAGACTGAGATGACGACCGATGTGACGAATGCGCTTCCATGTATCGGTGCAGTCGATGTAGACTTGGTTACGCGTTGGAGAACGCACCTGTTACCGTCGTCTTTGGTGACCAGCGTCCGTCACCCGTTGACCGTCTCACACCTGCGGCCGCACTCCAAACAATTTGTCGCCTTGCAGAGGCGCGTGTACACATGGGTTTCTACAATATTTAGTGTTTTTTGTATAGAGTTCATGTATGGTATTACGCCGTTTAAATGACTATTCAAGGTATGTCACTGGTAACTGTTCGAATCTGGACCAGGATAACCAGTGGTCGATAGTGTGAACACCGATTCGGGTCGTGGGATTTGGGTAGACACAGTCTACCAGGTCACAGCTGGTCTACTGAAGGGGCACCTCATTCCACTACCCATACCCGGGAGCCAGTGTGTCTCATGTCTGGAACTAGGTAGACCGCCTCCGTGGTCTTGTGGTAGAGCGTCCGCCCGGAGAGCGGAAGGTCCAGGGTTCGATCCCGGGCCGCGTCATACAAAAAGACGTTAAAAGATTGTACTTGTTGTTACCCTGTCTGGCGCTCGGCATTAAGGGGCTAAAACAAGGACTGGTCGGCTCGGAGTCAGTATACTGTGTCTGAGTGGGGTATTCATGTTAAACTGCGGCATGGTATCTCAGTGAGCTAGCACTAAAAATCGGCATCAGTCCGGACTAGTACAAGCAGCCACACACACACACATACACGTGCATGCACGTCGCTATATAAGTGCAATAATCTTGGACGCGACGTTAAACCCAATTTCACCTCACCTGGAACTAGGTCATGGCGGACCGTCCCGGGGTGCAGTGAATACATCACACTATATACAGTCGAGTAGGCGTTATATAGTCCACCATGGCATTGCAGATTGGTGAATATGAGGTATCAATTTTCCATTTGGTACCTTTAAATCTCGCACTTGCACACAAAAACGTATGTATGAATATATCGGTAGCTATCATGTCGATCCATACAAAATGGCTGCCGATAACCCATCCAAACTGTATCCGATCGATATCAGAACATTATCGGATGTTTTGGGCGACGATTTTGACGTCCTAGACGTAACTGGTGTGATGGTGACACTGTCAGCTCTTTCTGTGAATGGGTGTATTGTTAAATGGATGTCCAGATCCGGGGTAGAATAGGTCTACAGCAACCCATGATTGTCGTAAGAGATCGGGTGGTCAGGCTCGCTGATCTGGCTTGTGCATGTCATCGTATCCCAATTGCGTGGATCGATGCTCATGATGTCAATCACTGGATTGTCTGGTCCAGAGTCGGCATTTAGCTGGAATATTGCTGAGCGCGGCGTTTAACAACAAACGAACAAACAAACATCAAACTGTATGGTCGGTGAGCGTACAACACGTCTCCTCTTGTACCCTGTGTATATGCACTTCTCACGACTTCTTTTATAAGTCCAGACTCGATTATTATCAGACCGCCGTCATATAGCTGGAATATTGCTGAGTGCGGCGTTAAACAACAAACAAAAACCTGTTTGCCTGGCATGTATCCGTGTTTACTGTGGTGGCAGAATTGAGACACATATACCTACTGCGATGTAAACTATGGTCCACAGCTGACGTATTGAGGTCACACGTGCACTGGCACACTCTACACCGCTGTTGTCAACAACAGGGGGAACCAGTCGTAAACTGGGACAACAAGAAGTAGCGAGCAGGATGTACCAAAACAACGTTTCTTCATTAAAAATACAAAACAAATATATATTGGTATGTACAGATGTGGAGGGTAGGGGACCGGGATTGTTGGATGGGTTAGATACAAAATATTTGAAAAAAATGCCTTAGGTCTTACAAAGTACATCAGTTCACTGGACATGCTGTATACCCTAAAAATGTAGTGAAAAAAGATGTGTTCTTTAAAAAAAATGCACGACGTTATGCTGCAGGTACACGGTCGACAACCACTGGTGTATACATGATCAACAGGGTGGTAAAGTAATTCACGGTGGGCCTATCCAGGAGAGGACGGTTTGATGTCCCCTCTGTGTGGCCGTGTGCCCTGATGGGCGAACGCACTGACCACTAGGCCACCTCCCGCCCCAGTAGACACTGGTTGCGCAATGTCCCACTGACAGTCCCCTATGCTGCATCAACAAGATGATTTGAAGTGATGTTTCCGGTACATGTATCGCGCATTGGAAAACTGTTTACGACACAATTCCACGAACTGCAGTGACATGACGTGACAGGCGGAGGTCAGGGGGTATATATACAAGGCTGGTGTTGACGATAGCTACACTTCCCCATCATGTCGAACACTGTGTTGCTAGCACTGACTCTCTGCCTCGTCGTATCCTTAACGTCGGGGTTCCTCTTCAACAACAGTGAGTATAATGTGCATGTTATAGCGTGTGTATGTTATAGCGTGTGTATGTTATATGTGCATGTTATAGCGTGTGTATGTTATATGTGTATGTTATATATGTATGTTTTTTTAAGAATTGACATTCACTTTGTGTGAGGGCCAAGCTCCGACGTTCATACCGTTCATACTCCAGTGAACTCACACAAAGTGAAAGTCAATTCTTATAATTGTTTATCACAATTTCTTACCTCAAAGGATGTAGGCCAAGATCTATACACAATTTTATTTAGTACGTGTGACTTAATTGTATTACATTTACATCAATTACAAGACGTCATAATGGTCGACACGATAAACATTACGGGGGAGATTTGGGGAGTTGCTACTGAACCCATGGCGGTAACATGTTTTGGTCACCATTGATCAACTGGCCGATCAGTGAGAGGTGATTAAAGATGTGTCAAATAGACACGAAGGTAAACTCATATATGGCTGTAGACTAACATCTAGTCTCTGAAATGAACATATCGTACAGAAAAAAAACAGTTGTTCAGTTATCTTAATAAAAATATAATAAAAAAGAGCCCAGTGACTCTCTTCATTTTCACTGCAGTGATCTAGACTTGCCAGACTTGCATTGGCTGTATTTGATATATATTTGTATCAGGGTCTGTAAGACAGACTAATATGGCTGTAGACAGTCACTGCCAACCTAGACACGGATCGAGTCGATACAACCACAGTTTGGATGTGCATTTCTTCGTTTTGTTCACAAGGATGGGTCGTAGCGAGGATATTCGTGAACGATCGTGCAGTGAAACTCTGACGTTTCTCACTGTATACTAAAACGCTGAGTTCAAGATTAAAGCGTCTACATGATCAGAAAGAACGCTTCTGTATTTATTTGTGCTAGAGAATTCCCAGGGGGCCCCCAAGAATGTGGAAGTTGTCCGTCAGTGATTACGTCATTTCAAGAACACGGTCTCGTGAAAAACGTATGAACGTCAAATTGAACGTCAGTTTCGCGGTCATGTGACCGACCTCTCGTCCAATGGAAAAGTTGTGTATCGTGTAAACTTCAAATAAACAAAATATTTAATATATGTTATATCATGAGTATGTTATATTATATACGTGTATGTGGTATATCATATGTATGTTTAGACCATGTATATGTTGTATCATATGTATGTTATATCATGTGTATTTTAAATCAAGTGTATGTTATATCATTTATTTGTTATATCAAGTGTATGTTATATCATGTGCATGTTAAATGATAAGTCAAATACCCCAATGTGATTTGTCAGCGCGAGGTCAGATACCAAATGTACGTTAGCCAATGTCACTCAAACACACAACTCTATTTAATAAACGAATTAAGAATAAACCTTATGTGTGCGCTTTTACAATACCAATGCCATACAACATTGTATCCCAGCTTGATCGCATGGGGCCAACGATGGAGAAAGTTTGGGGATGGCAATAGTTGCCACAAATGCTGAAACAATGCCCCTATATGGCTGAAACAATGTCGCTATATGGCTGAAACAATGCCTCTATATGGCTGAAACAATGTTGCCATATGGCTGAAACAATGCCGCTATATGGCTGAATCAATCCCTCTGTATGGCTAAAACAATACCCGTATATGGCTGAAACAGTGCCCCTATATGGCTGAAACAATGCCCCTATATGGCTGAAATAATGCCCCTATATGGCTGAAACAATGTCGCCATATGGCTGAAACAATGCCCCTATATGGCTGAAACAATGTCGCCATATGTCTGAAACAATGCCCCTATATGGCTGAAACAATGTCGCCATATGGCTGAAAAAATGCCGCTATTTGGCTGAAACAATGTCGCTATATGGCTGAAATAATGCCCCTATATGGCTGAAACAATGTCGCCATATGTCTGAAACAATGCCGCTATATGGCTGAAACAATTTCGCCATATGGCTGAAACAATGTCGCTCTTATGGCTGAAACAATGCCTCTGTATGGCTGAAACAATGCCCCTAAATGGCTGAAACAATGCCCCTTTTGGGCCGAAACAATGTCGCTATATGGCTGAAACAATGTCGCTATATGGCTGAAACAATGCCCCTATATGGCTGAAACAATGTCGCTATATGGCTGAAACAATGTCCCTATATGGTCGAAACAATGTCCCTATATGGCTGAAACAATGCCCCTATATGGCTGAAATAATGCCCCTATATGGTCGAAACAATGTCCCTATATGGCCGAAACAATGTCGCTATATGGCTGAAACAATGTCGCTATATGGCTGAAACAATGTCGCTGTATGGTCGAAACAATGTCCCTATATGGCTGAAACAATGTCCCTATATGGTCGAAACAATGTCCCTATATGGCTGAAACAATGTCGCTATATGGCTGAAACAATGCCCCTATATGGCTGAAATAATGCCCCTATATGGTCGAAACAATGTCGCTATATGGCCGAAACAATGTCGCTATATGGCTGGAACAATGCCCCTATATGCCTGAAATAATGCCCCTATATGGTCGAAACAATGTCGCTATATGGCCGAAACAATGTCGCTATATGGCTGAAACAATGCCCCTATATGGCTGAAATAATGCCCCTATATGGTCGAAACAATGTCGCTATATGGCCGAAACAATGTCGCTATATGGCTGAAACAATGCCCCTATATGGCTGAAATAATGCCCCTATATGGTCGAAACAATGTCCCTATATGGCCGAAACAATGTCGCTATATGGCCGAAACAATGTCGCTATATGGCTGAAACAATGCCCCTATATGGCTGAAACAATGTCGCTATATGGCTGAAACAATGTCGCTGTATGGTCGAAACAATGTCCCTATATGGCCGAAACAATGTCCCTATATGGCTGAAACAATGTCCCTATATGGCTGAAACAATGTCGCTATATGGCTGAAACAATGTCCCTATATGGCTGAAACAATGTCCCTATATGGCTGAAACAATGTCCCTATATGGCTGAAACAATGCCCCTATATGGCTGAAACAATGCCCCTATATGGTCGAAACAATGTCGCCATATGGCTGAAACAGTGCCCCTATATGGCTGAAATAATGCCCCTATATGGTCGAAACAATGTCCCTATATGGTCGAAACAATGTCCCTATATGGCCGAAACAATGTCGCTATATGGCTGAAACAATGTCCCTATATGGCTGAAACAATGTCCCTATATGGCTGAAACAATGTCCCTATATGGCTGAAACAGTGCCCCTATATGGCTGAAACAATGCCCCTATATGGTCGAAACAATGTCGCTATATGGCTGAAACAATGCCCCTATATGGCTGAAACAATGTCCCTATATGGCTGAAACAGTGCCCCTATATGGCTGAAACAATGTCCCTATATGGCTGAAACAATGTCCCTATATGGCTGAAATAATGCCCCTATATGGTCGAAACAATGTCCCTATATGGCTGAAACAATGTCGCTATATGGCTGAAACAATGTCGCTATATGGCCGAAACAATGTCGCTATATGGCTGAAACAATGTCGCTGTATGGCTGAAACAATGTCGCTATATGGCTGAAACAATGTTGAAGCGGTTGTACCATTTTATTTGACTTACTTCTCTGACCAATTGTGGCGGGTACAACAGTGATGGTTTTCATGTTTACAGACTGTGGCCGGGGATGTCGATTTTGCACGGGACAGTTGGGGTGTACTAGCTGTGAAGCTCAGTTTTGTTTGAAGCGTGTTAACAGGTAACCACCACAAAAGTACATCCCCACACTCCCATAACTGAGGACTCACAGACGCACAACATGATTAAACATGCTTGTATGAGCGCTAAAAAATCAATTTCATCAAGAAGCCATAAGATAAACCTGAATCAAATTCTTATATTTTACGTACGCTTTATTCAATGTGTTCTGTTAATACTTGCTGTGACGTTGTCATGTTGTTGAATGAGTTCTACACTGATAAATGCCATTCGCTGTTGTTTTTTCGTCAGTATACAAACACAATTTATCAAATGATTGACTATGGATTGTTTTTGGTTCATTGAGGTGAATGAATCGAAAAACCGATGTGCAAACTGTGTGAATCCCGTCATGTAATTATATATTATTTCCTGTAGGTTTGGCGTGTGCTTAAGGGGCTGTGGTGTCGGGGCCTTCTGTAATCCCGTCGGCTACTGTAACGGTAAGTCCATATGTTTGTAATACTTAGTCTCTAAATCTATTGTATAAGTTTTCTTTTGGTGACTAAACGTTTTGAAATAGAGACAAAACTAAAAGAAAATATGTTATCGTAGCCTTGTATGAAATGTTTTGGAGTTTTGTTTGTTCAATTATAGAAGTAGTCGTGAGAAGTACATATACACAGGGTACAAACAGGGGGGACGTGTTGTACGTTCGCCGACCATTCAGTTTGATGTTTGTTTGTTTGTTCGTTTGTTGTTTAACGCCGCACTCAGAAATATTCCAGCTATATGACGGCGGTCTGAAAATAATCGAGTCTGGAAAAGACAATCCAGTGATTGACATCATGCGCATCAATCAACGCAGTTGGGATACGATGACATGCATCAACCAAGTCAGCGAGCCTGACCACCTGATCCCGTTAGTCGCCTTTACGGCAATCATGTGTTGCTGATGATCAATTCTAACCCGGATCTGCACGGGTCCCATTTAGTTTGAGTGTTGCCACTTTCACTTATCGATGTGTGTTGTGTGTTGCAGACTGTACCGATTCCCACTGTGACGTGTGTACCGCCAGGAATCAGTGTACCCGCTGCAAGAGTGGGTACACGCTACAGAACGGCCGCTACTGCTACCGCCGGTTCGGAGGTTGATCACGTGGGGAGCCACGCCCATCTCCACCCAGGCACTCAACTCAGCTCTACCCTGCTTCTTGTAGGGGGTGACATGCGCTCAGCCCCACCGTCAATTGTCCCAGGATTGTTCTGTTGTCATGCCGGTGGAAGTGGAAATCTATGTCAATTCTGTCTTTATATGTTATTAAATGTTTTACCATCATATATATTTACTTGTTTTTTTTTGTAGTTAGACGCAAAGCTGTTTAATAAGTCCATAAATGGAAACGGCTGCACGTCATTGCCTGGACTAGAGAGTTTGGACGGCCTTTTGGCACCCACACAGTAGTAGTAGTAGTAGTAGTAGTAGTAGTGGTAGTGGTAGTGGTAGTAATAGTAGTAGTAGTAGTGGTAGTGGTGGTGGTGGTGGTAGTAGTAGTAGTGGTGGTGGTGGTGGTAGTAGTAGTAGTAGTGGTGGTGGTGGTAGTAGTAGTAGTGGTGGTGGTGGTGGTAGTAGTAGTAGTAGTAGTGGTGGTGGTGGTGGTGGTGGTAGTAGTAGTAGTTGTAGTATTTTGATTAAATTAAGTAGTATTTTTAAACCAATCAACTTGACGTGTTTGTATTCACATCTACTGGAGGAATTTAGTTTCATTACTAAGATGATGTGGATGATGGACATAGGTAGCATATCTTTCGATGTCAACTGACAAAAAAAGAAACGTTACCAAACTGAAAACCGAAAAGTATTACAAAATGGTTGAGAATCAATCGTTCAAACACAACCACAACAGTGTGCTGAGTAATGCACGTGCTACATTACCCAGATCAGTGGAACTTGACTTTGAAGTGAAACTTCTGCTGCTCTTGTAGCATGCCAGCCTACAAAGATATGAATATAGAAGGAACGATGTACTGTTCAGTCACACCCAAACCATTGGACAGTGACAAATACCATGCTGAGATTAATGGTACTGAGAGAACAAGCCATATGATACATCAAGAAGCAACGCATGACCACGTTGCGAGGAGTTTTGGCCGTAGCCGAATGACAATCACCAGGCTGATGATCCATTAAAATATTGAAAGTCCAAGTTCACAGTAAAATGCATTTCTCCAATCGCAAAGATAAGTTTCTACCTCAGATTGGTCAGAATTAATTAGGACACACTCACTTACATCATCATAAAATAGAAACGGGTGACACCAGGCCCATTAGATTCCCTTCTTGTGGGCAAAACGCATCCATTAGGAAAGCATGTTCCAGCCAGGTGCAAGACATGTTTGAAGCCAATATCATTCAGCCCAGCAGGTGCAAGACATGTTTGAAGCCAATATCATTCAGCCCAGTTCTTCTGAATGGCACTCTCCCGTTGTCATGGTTAAAAAAACCGTGATATCTCTTCCCCCTTTGCCGTAGATTATAGACGTCTCAATGCAGTTCCCAAATCAATATGTTTCCCTCTACCAATTTTTAGTGTGCTTGATTGTGCTAGTGGCTTTTGGCAAATAACTCTCCATCCAGATGCAAGACACAAATCGGCCTAAATTACATCCGATGGCGTTTTGGATGGACCTTTTGGTCTACAAAATGTTCCGCAAACCATTTCAGATGCAATAGAAAAATGAATTGACTTAACATACTAATATATGTAGATGACGTAATATTTTCTAAAACGTTTTTGAACATTTGAGGCATCTCAAGGCAGTATTCCAAAAGATCAAAGAAGCAGGACTCACTCTAAGACCAAGCAACTGTAAATTTGCAACAAAATTCACCTACTTAAAGCACATTTTCAGCAAAGATGGCATCCATGTCCATATACTTGAAAAAACAGATTCAGTCACACAGACTCCACCCTCTCAAATGTCCATGGCGTGTGATATTTCTTAGATTTGGTCTCGTATTATCACAAATTTGTAGCAAACTTTTCTGGCATCGCCTCCCCTCTTTTCAAACTTCTGAAAAAAAGACGCGTCTTTTAGTCCAACAACTGCATCTCAAACTGCAATAGGGAACATTTTAGGCCAACTTGACGCTCATGGTGTAATTGGGAATGATGCTGTTAATTCATTTCGTTTGACCGTACAATATCTTCCTGTTCTGTTTTTAGGAACAAACAATGTTGATTGGCAACGTTTCTATTACTCGTCAGTTTCCAAGTAAGGGTATATGATGCTTAATGGTCATTTCCCATCACAGTCAACAACTGTTTTGGCCTCTTGAAATGGAAGATTTGAAATGATATTAATAAAAAAGGGTTACGGACATACTGTCTCTCTGTCAAAGATGATGGCTTTGCCCACGAAATATTCAGAATTGATGAGGATGGCCATATTGTGGTCGAGACTACATATTGAGGCTGAGTTTTCAAGCAGATGGAGGCTGAGGTTTTTATTTACACAAAAATTATTAGAGCTTGACGAAAAGCTTGACGTTCAGCAGCAAATACTGAGAGATGGTCATTTAGCCTGAACACACTTAGGACCGGCAAATCAGAAACTCAATATTCTCCTGCAGTACACCGTGTCCCATGGTACGAAAGTGTTCCAAAGAGTAACCTCCCTTATAACATACTCCCTCGTGTTGTGATCTCGTCACACCTTATTTTACATGCGCTTCAACGGTTTTTTTGTGTTTTTTTTGTTTGTTGTTTAACGCCGCACTCAACAATATTCCAGCTATATGACGACCAGCATGGGTTGATGAAGACCTATTCTACCCCGGAGTTTCACGGGTGTCGTGTATGCAGTAGGTGGAGAGTCTCCTGTTGGCGAGGATCGGGTGGCGGTAAACAACAAACAAACAAACAAGCATACACAAGTATCTGTGCATATGGTCATTTAGCCGGAACACACTTGGGGCGAGAAATCAGAAAGCCAGTATGCCCCAGCATTACAAACCCTGACGAAACCTTTAACACATTGACTTCACTAGTCCATGTACTTGTATCAAACACAACTGTATATATGTGACACTGGTCTACTGCTCTACAGTGACTGTACATTGTACTCCAGGCCCGAGGCCTCGAAAGTACAACAATCGAACTTACATCTGTTACATAACTATAATTTAACAACTGTTTCTTCTGTAAAATATGTTCATTTCAGAGACTCGGTGTTAGCCTCTGTGTCCCAGTTTGTCGCTCTCTCTCTCGCTGTCTCTCTTGCTGTCTCTCTAACTCTCTCTCACTCTCTCACTCCCTGTCTCTCTCCCTGTCTCTCTCACTCTCTCTCTGTGTCTCTCTCACTCCCTGTCTCTCTCACTCTCTCTCCCTGTCTCTCTAACTCTCTCTCACTCTCTCTCACTCTCTCTCTCCCTGTCTCTCTCACTCTCTCTCCCAGTCTCTCTCACTCTCTCTCTCCCTGTCTCTCTCACTCTCTCTCCCTGTCTCTCTCACTCTCTCTCTCTCTGTCTCTCTCACCGTCTCTCTCTCTCTCTCTCCCTGTCTCTCTACTCTCTCTGTGTGTCTCTCACTATCTCTCTCCATGTCTCTCTCACTCTCTCCCTGTCTCTCTCACTCCCTGTCTCTCTCTCTCACTGTCTCTCTCACTCCCTGTCTCTCTCACTCTCTCCCTGTCTCTCTCACTGTCTCTCACTCTCTCTCCCTGTCTCTCTCACTCCCTGTCTCTCTCACTCTCTCCCTGTCTCTCTCAATGTCTCTCACTGTCTCTCTCCCTGTCTCTCTCACTCTCTCTCCCTGTCTCTCTCACTCTCTCTCACTCCCTGTCTCTCTCACTCTCACTCCTTGTCTCTCTCACTCTCTCTCCCTGTCTCTCTCACTCTCTCTGTGTGTCTCTCTCACTCTCACTCCCTGTCTCTCTCACTCTCTCTCCCTGTCTGTCTCACTCTCTCTCCCAGTCTCTCTCACTCTCTCTCACTCCCTGTCTCTCTCACTCTCACTCCCTGTCACTCTCTCTCACTCTCTCTCCCTGTCTCTCTCACTCTCTCTCTGTGTCTTTCTCACTCTCTCTCCCTGTCTCTCTCACTGTCACTCCCTGTCTCTCTCACTCTCTCTCTCTCCCTGTCTCTCTCACTCTCACTCCCTGTCTCTCTCACTCTCTCTCTCTCTCCGTCTCTCTCACTCTCACTCCCTGTCTCTCTCACTCTCTCTGTGTGTCTCTCTCACTCTCTCTCCCTGTCTCTCTCACTCTCTCTCCCTGTCTCTCTGACTCTCTCTGTGTGTCTTTCTCACTCTCTCTCTCCCTGTCTGTCTCACTCTCTCTCCCAGTCTCTCTCACTCTCTCTCACTCCCTGTCTCTCTCACTCTCACTCCCTGTCACTCTCTCTCACTCTCTCTCCCTGTCTCTCTCACTCTCTCTGTGTGTCTCTCTCACTCTCTCTCCCTGTCTCTCTCACTCTCTCTCCCTGTCTTTCTGACTCTATCTGTGTGTCTTTCTCACTCTCTCTCCCTGTCTGTCTCACTCTCTCTCCCAGTCTCTCTCACTCTCTCTCACTCCCTGTCTCTCTCACTCTCACTCCCTGTCACTCTCTCTCACTCTCTCTCCCTGTCTCTCTCACTCTGTCTCTGTGTCTTTCTCACTCTCACTCCCTGTCTCTCTCCCTGTCTCTCTCACTCTCACTCCCTGTCTCTCTCACTCTCTCTGTGTGTCTCTCTCACTCCCTGTCTCTCTCACTCTCTCTGTGTGTCTCTCTCACTCTCACTCCTTGTCTCTCTCACTTTCTCTCTATCTCCCGGTCTCTCTCTCCCTGTCTCTCTCACTCCCTATTTGTCGCTCTCTCCCTGTCTCTCTCTCACCCCGTTTGTCTCTCACTCTCTCTCTCTCTCCCTGTATGTCTCACTCTCTCCATCCCTCTCTCTCTCTCTCTCTCTCTTACTCTCTCAACCTCTCCCCGTGTCTGTCTGTCTGTCTTTATGACTCTCTTGTTGAGATTGCCCTTGCCCCATGACACAGCAGGTAGTAAGGTTTGACTGAGTGGAATGTTCAATCATGCGCAGTTGATATGTCGTTGTCTCATATTTTCAGGGACTACATGTGTGTATTTACATACACCGACCAATCCACAGATTTTTTTGTTTTATTGCTTTGTATTTTCAAGTGATTTATACTGCCCGAGTTCTGAGGCGGGTGTAACGATTTGTAATGTACTCATTGGTGCAGATGTACTCGTACGTACCGAAGATAGTGGTACACCTGTTTCGACCTGGCCAAAATATGGATCACTGGATGAATCTGACCTATAAAGATACAGTCCACGACGGGCG